GTGGGAAAATACAAGGCCCTCTGAAATTCACATTTGTCTTCCTTTTAGCACTGCTGGCCTCTGTCACAAGCCAAAGCAACTACTCCAGATTAAAAAGACAAGACATTAACTTTAGGCTTCTAATCTCTGGATTTCAAATTTTATCAAAATAATTATTATACTTCCTTCTATTTTAAAAAAGAATACTTTCATTAGCTTTAGGTGCAGAAATAGAAAACAACAAAAACCCTAGGAACAACTATAATTCAACAATGAGAAAACATTTTGTTCCTTGCTCCTCCATCCCTGCCTCCTGCAGCCTGCCCCAACCTAATTTTATCACCAAAAAACCAGTATCACAGAAGGAATCACAAAAATTAACAAAATACCAGGAAAAATGACAAATTAGCAAAGGTCTTGCTGGTGACACTTAGATAAAGTTTGAAAAGGCAATTTCAGTGTAAAAAAAAGAATCACCTTTTCCTATTATTCAAGCAGAAATTTTGTGAAAAGAAAAGAAAGAAAAACTAAGCCAAAAGGCAGAGATGCTTCAACACTGGAAGGTAGCTAATGCAAGTGATTAAAAAATAGCACTTTTGTTTTCTGGCTTTCAATGTAGACCAAATACTGAACTTTTCTACCAAGATTAATCCCATGGACCAGTCCTACTTGTCAGTCACTCTATACCCCAACCCAATCACTTGACCCAGGATCTGAGCCTCCCCGGCCCCCTCCTATGCCCAGAGAAAATCCCCACTCAGCTCGTCTGGAATACTTCCCTATTAGGCAATGTTTTATTTAATACTTTGTCGGAAAGAGACATAGGGACCTACTCCTTGGAGCAGTCATGTCCTCAGGTTCTAGTAAAAGAGGTGTGTGCCCAAATCCTACCTCTTTGTGTGACCTCCAGTGGGCTATTCAACTCCTCTAAGTCTCCAGTTTTCTTATCTAGGAAAAGTGATAATATTGATCATAACAACTATCTGTGTCAGGGGTCCCTTGAGGATTTTAAGATGTGATACATAATATTTGGCCCAGTGCCTAAGACAGTCTGTGTTCAGTCTCTGTTAAGCATCATCATTACACACACAGGGCATGAGCAGCAGCACATAATCAATCCATTTTGTACTTCAAGTTCCACTCTGATAACTAGCTTTTCAGTTATCTACACCACAGAAAAAAAAAACTTGTGATAATCACTAAAGCAATCATCTTAAAATCTAATCTTTCCAACATAAAAACTACAGAGATGGAGAACAAACAGATCACTGATTGCTAAGGGGGGATTATGAGGTGTTACTTCAAGGTGGCAATAGGTGGGAGTTTGAAGGGGTGGGTGTGATGGAATGTTCTGCGCTCTGAGTGACATGGTGGTTAAAAATGAAGCAATATATCGGTCAAAATACATGAAAAGTACACCCAAAAAAATGAATTTATACCACACACAAATTCAAATTAATCTTTAATTGTAAAACAAAAAGTCCCATATTTTCTAAGCAGATAATAAATCAAAATAGTGACACAAATAAACTCATAAATATCCAGGATAATTTAACAGCTATATACCATATATTATCCTATAACTAAGTCAAATTCAATTTTAATTATCAGTTCTGACTTATTCAAGGACAAAATATCAATACTAAATAACCACAATGCACTTTTTAATAATAGAAGCAAAAAGACTTTAAAAATCTACTTATATCGGGCCTCCTCTGGTGGCGCAGGGGTTGAGCACTGAGCTGCAAAGCTGCTCGCAGCCTCTGCAACGCCCGGTGGTACCACATGGTGTGCAGACCTCTCCTGCCGCCCACTGCTCCTCTCAGCAGTGTATTTCGTCAGTCAGCCTATTCTGTTGCCCGCTCTGGCTCTGGTGAATTCTCTCACCCTCCCATGCTTCTGACTGTACCCAGCGCTTGTATAAATAAATAAATAAATCTTTGAAAAAAAAGAAATCTATTTATATCAACTCTAAATATGACTAGTATTTTCCATTTACTGACTAAAAGGGAGTTTGAGGACTTTTAGGCTAGACTTCATAGATCTCAACTTTGCTTTCTGAGGAGTTCTTAATATGCAGGAATTAGTGTTCTAACCTATATATAACGTGTGTGTATATATATAAATGCATTTTATATATATGTATATATACACAAGTATATACAGAGAGAGAACTTCATATATACACATGTGCATATATATGCATCTTATACATGTGTGTATATATACACATACATGTATATGTATGCATATACATGTATATGTATGTGTATGTGTATATATATATGGAGAGAGAGAGAACTTCAAAGATTTAACACAGCCTAAAATGAGTAGGCATGTACACATCAAGAGCTACAATGCAGTAAAAAGTCAACACATGCATTCTGCATTTTTAAAAGTCCATAACATGTTTCACTCAGAAAACATTCCATAAACTAGACAATGGAAAAGATAAAGCAGTCCCAATATAAACAGATTTAACTACTATCACCTCTTGCTTTTACTGTTTGTAAAAGTCTTGGCCACCAAATAGACTTTTTTTTTCCAACTCGAAAAACAAGAGAAGAACAAAGCAATGGGAAAATGAGTACTGTGAAAAAAACAAAAACAAAAAACACAAATGCCCTTCAATTTGTGAATGTGTAAACAATCACAGTAATGGAATGCTATTCAGGTAATGGAATGCTATTCAGTGATTTAAAAGGCATGAACTATGTATTGATACTTGCAACAATAAAGATGGCTCTCAATTATAAGTGAGGTTAGGCACTTCTCCACCCTTCCAAAATAACACATACTGCAAGATTTCATTTAGATAAAACTTAGGAAATGCAAACTTTTATCTAGTAACAGAAAGCAGATTAGTGATATTATATTATATAATATATAATATTATATATCTAGTGTATTATATGTAGACAACCCTCTTTTCCAAACAATGCATATCTTGAAGTCACAGAACTGCAATACCTTTCCCCTTAGTGATTAGCATACATGATCAAAACCTTGACAACCTAAAGATTTAATTATAATTAAAAGTAATAATAGTTAATATTAACATAGCTATGACCATGTGTCTGGCACTGTTTCAAGCACTTTTCTTACAAGAATTCATCTGACTCACATGAATCCTATTTAATAGGAAACTGAGGTAAAGAAGGTTTAAGCAGTGGTCTCAGGATCACACAGCTGGCAAATAGAGACACCAGGATTTGAACCAAGGGAGTCTGACTCTAGAGTTCATTTTCTTACCCAATACACTCTACTGGCACACATAACATAACATATGGTGTGAAAGTCAGAAGCAATGGATGTTGCACTTTTAAAATATTTTTCTTCCTCACATTCACAGAATGCAGAAGTACAATATTTACTACATTTTGTATCATTCACAAGGCTAAATTTAAAAAAAAAAGCAACAACAGTATACCTTCATTCTTTTCCCTATTAGTAGATGGAGCAAGAAAACAGAAAGCTGGACAACTTCCTTAGGATATAGAACAAGTTGCAAATAGATGCATTATAGAGAAGCTGGTTCATTACATTCCCAGTCCAATTCTTTTCGTTGTCTTCAAATCATTAGTTATTTTAAGTAAAACAATAAGGGAAAGAAAAATCTAATGCACAGCAAGATGAAAAATGTAAAAGCCAAGCCATTTGCTGTCAAATACCCTACTGGTTCCTTAATTCTATCCAGTCTCAACCTCTGCTGATATTGGTCTAGAGTCCTTTTTTTTTTTTTTTTTTAAGTTCCACTGATGATTTTTCATGAGCAGCCAAGATTGAGAACTCCTGATATAAATAAGATTTAGATTTCCCATTAAAGGGAGAAACAGAACAAGCAAGGTGCTGTAAAAAGCTTTGGTTAAAAAAACAACAACAGAGGTTTTCCAAGTCAATGTTGAATTGCTGAACATAGGCAAGCTGTTTACTTTTAATAAATTAAAAGTAAAAATATATATACAGAGTATGAGTCATGATAACAAAAGTTACATAACAATATACTAGATTGCAAAAATCTCATCTTTTTAGAATGCTAAGTTGGTCTCTTGACACCAGGTTGACAGAGTAAAAGTACAGAAAAACATGTCATGTATCCATTGCATTTAAAACATGAGATAAGCTAATACCATATTATGAATCTGTTTAAGAAGCACAGGTTGAAAAGACAGTGTTTATCACAACCTGAATCAGTGCTCTTTCAACTTTAAAGTGCACTTCTTAGAGATTAAGATTCAGTGGGTGTTGGGATAGGGACTGAGAATTTGCATTTCTAACAAGCCCCAGGTGTTGCTGTTGAGCAATAAGGCCCTAACTAACTTGGATATTAGTTATAAAATTAGTCATTTGGCTTATAAATCTGGTTATACCCAGGATCCACGTGTTAATACAATTTATTGCTAGTCCAGGAAGAGAGGTGAGTATGGGGAGGAGGGAGAACAGGGAAAGTGGCAGGCAGTTACCTGTGTAGTCTAGCAGAGCTAAGAGAATATTAATAACTTGCCATCAATTTGCAGCTGTCAAGGCGATAATTAAATGTAAGCTCCGGGGAGGGGGAGAGGAGGCTTTTGTGCTTACTGCAGAACCCTTATGGCCCAAGCATACACTAGGTACTCAATAAAAGCATTGAATGTATGAATGAATGAGAAGTATATATCAACACAAACTATTTGTCACAACCCAAAACTATCAGGGAAGGAAACTATATCTGTACAGATGGAGGCGGGCAGCTGTCAACTGAGACAAATACCTAGTCCAGCCATGGCACTCCATTTTGTGCTAAAAAAATAAAAATAAAAGATTCCCCGCCCCCTGCCCCCAAGCCAATACTTCCCGTTTAAAAACCTAGACTTCCCGCAACCTTATGTTTAACAAAAATTTTGCTCTTTGAGAACAAAGTGGGAATTCAGAAAGATTCCAAAAAGGCTCAAAAATCCAATTAAAAAAACGGAGAGGAAATGGACAAACAGTTCAGCACTCGTGAAGGAACATCTTATGGGTCGGACGCTGCATGTTCTTACCTATGGTGGTGGCAGGGTAAGGGCTTTATTTGTTTTGTAACTGTCCAAGATCACTGGTGAAGTCAGACTAAACAGGCAGTTGGCCATCAAACCAACCTTCAGAAGTTTTAGGGATTCGTGCTTCTTGACAGATTTCCCACTTCCCAGGTGTCCCCGCGCGCTGGGAAACGCTGCCGCCGCCCAAACACAAGATAATCCCGGCAGCTTCACCGGAGTCTTGAAGCCACTCCAGGACTTAAGATGGAGGCGAAACACTTCAGGCTAGTGGTCTAGGCAGTGCGAGGAATCTGCCCCAAAGAAAAATGGCCTCCTGGGGGGGGGGGGGGTTTAATAAAGGCTGGGAAATAAAGGTGTCTTTCGCAATGCCAGATAAAAGAAAAAAAACATATTTAAATATCACGTCCTCTATAATACTTTCGAATGGTACATAAAAGTAAAGGTTTTGTTCTATGTAAAAAGCAAGATTGGAGGGAGCTGGCGCGGAAATTAACTATTTTTTAAGGCACAGAAATAGACTACTTCAGACTACACGTTAAGACCCCATATGAAGGACTGAGGGCAGAAATACGACCAATTGGCACTGCGCATGCCCATTTTTCCAGCCTGATCCAAGGAAGATGGGGTGGGGGGGTACAGCAGGAGTGGGAGCAACGCCTGTTCCTGGTTTTTGAGACAGCCTTAAAAGAAGGCGGGGAATTGGGGCTAAAAAACTTAAAAATCACACTTCTTATGATTGGTCGAATGAGGGGCCAGCGAGTTGAGAACGGTTGGCTGCGTTTTCTTCCAGTCAATAAACCCCTCTTCAGAGCGCACCATAAAGCAGATCCTGCGCCTCACAAGGCCCATTTGATGACTACTTAATTTTTTAGTGTTAACAATTATCTGAGATTGACTCCGAATAGACTCCGCCCCCGGCTCGTTCCGGTCCGAGCCCGGCTTTCTGGGCAGAGAACGTCACTAAAACCCGGAACCGCGGATTCCGAGCGGCTCCCGCGCCGGACGCAGAATTGCGCATGCGCCGTCCCCGCGCGCGGCGCGCGGGGCGCGGGGTGTCAGGACCGGCGGCGGCTGCTGCGAGAGTCTTGGCCTCGTAGGCCGGCTGGCGGCGGCCTAGGGAGGCGCAGCAGCTGTTGGGCAGGTGAGAGTGCTGGAACCTCAGGTGGAAAAGTCAGCTTTGTTCCTGGCGGAAGCAAGGAGAGGGGGGCCTTGTAGGTGCCCGCGCTCCCCTCAGAAAGGTCACTGGCGCAGGCACTGAGGGATATTTGAGGGCGGAGACAAGGAGGAGGCTGTGTGCTTACAAAGTCAGTGACCTGCCTTTAAAATAGCAAGTGAACACTTGCTGCTGTGAGGACTGTGCCTGGCGAGGAGGTGGTCCTGTCGTGCGGGTGGAGTTACCAGGCTAGGGCCTCCTCACTCCGCCATCCGCGCGCCCACGCTGAAGTAGGACAAGGTGTGCCGGAGAAGGCCGCTTGCACCTGCGCTGCCACCTTCTAGCTGGATCCTGTGACTCTTCGGGGCACTCCTCGTTCAGTGGAAGGGGGCATTGTATGCCTGTCCCTAGGAGGTGGGTGCCCCCGGATGGAGGAGGTGGAACTGGATAGCAAGACGGTTGTACGGTGTGGTAGCGCCAACTGTGAAGGCAGAGGGCTTTTGACGTTGTAAGGAATGAAATTCTTTTGAAATGGAGGAGACCCTGCAGCCAGGTACCAAATGGGATGTGCCCCAAATCCCGTTGCCACTTCAGAAGTTCTCCATACTAGCTGTTCTATTCATTCATTAACATCAGTTTATGTAAGTCTGTCTCTGTATTTGTGACACCGTGTGAATTAGCAAATACAGCAGTGATCCTGACAGCCATGGTCCCTGACCACAAGTTTTTATTCTAGTGATGGAAGGAAAAACAGTAAGAGCATTGATGAATGAGCAAGATGTTTCCTAATTGCCCTAGGGTGGATTCCCTGAGAAGCAGGTACTGAGGAGGAGATGGGTGGACATGACATAAATTAGGGAGGACTTTGAAGATATTAACAAGGAGGAAAGCAAGTCGAATTGAGTGGATAGGAGAAGTTGACTGCAGTGCAGCCCCAAAGACCACCACCAGTCCCACTCCTGGACTCTGGTGCCTGCTTGGCTCTTTCAGTTTGGAGGGAAGGGCCAGATCTTTATACCCCTGCATTTGATCATTCATTGGCTATGCCCACTGCCCCGAGAGACCTGACTTCACCTCTGTTTAGTCAAGTCAATCCTGGAAGGGAACTGAGCGTGGAGGGCTGATCCAGAGAAAGGGAAATGTTATTGATCCTGAAGGGAGATCAGAATGGCACATCACAACATGCCCACCAAAGGGAGTGCTTTTGAGGTAATAGTGAGATATGATGCTCAAAGTAGCTCTCTGAGTAGGTGACATCTGATGGCACAAAGGTAACAACACTCTCCCCTCTGCTAGGCACTGAGAATAGCAGAGAAACAAACAGTTGCTACCTTCCTTCTGGTTGGCATTTGCAAGTTTCTATACATAGTGACTCCTTGCTGTAAATAAATTAGGAGTAAGTAAAAATGGATTGAAACTAGTTCAGAGGAAGATGGAGGAGAAAACATGTAGTTTTGAAAAATTAGTCAACTTGGTAAAGAATATATGATATATTTTTCTTCCTATACAACATTTAATTATATTTCATTAGGATTATGCCTTTCTCTTTTCAAGCCTATATTGATTTTAAGGACAGGAGCCATTCCTTATTCATCTTGCTAGTCCCCATCCTCCCCACTTCCACTAATGTCTTATATTGCTTAATAGATACTTATTAAGAATTTTAATAAAATTAATCTCACAAATGTTTGAAATAACTGATAAGCCCTAAATGGCCTAAACATTATAGATACGACTATTTGCATTGTCTTTACAGTATCCCTTAGTTTTACAAGTTATAGCCAAATATTAGTTGAAATACTAGATAAGTTGTAATTGCCATGGGTAAGTAGGAATCTACAGAGGTGCCTATTTTCACACATTAAAGATAATGTATTTCCGATTATAATAGCTGCCATGTGTTGTGCACATCCCACATATACTGTACTAAAAAATACATAACTATATATGTGGTGAACTTCACCCATATGATACATTATGAAATTGAGGTGGGAAAGAAGAAGCAATTTGCCCAAGATCATAATTAATTTGTGGTATATAGAATTTGACTGCCTTCGTTACTCAAAGCCTTTGCTTTTAAATAATAGCTTTTCTGAAAAGTCAGTCCAAGACTCATCACACTAGGACATTCAGATTTACTCTCTTGGCAGCTTTAATTCAGTAACTGTTACCTGAGACACAAATGTGAAGTTATTCACTATCTTTGCTGTTTTTCACTGTCCTTGAGTTTCCCTATTTTCTTCATTATTAGTGCTCCTGGCTCTCACTTCAGGAGCTTGATTGTGATTTTTCCTGTAACATCCTGGAATCTGATGACATATCCATCCTACTCTAGTCAAAATAGCCCCAAAGATCTATGAACCTCTTTCTTGAGAATTTGGGGCTTTTATTCAGGTATAACTGACTGTATTTGCAGAGAAGCAGGCCTCTCTATGAGAACCACTTCCTTAGTCTAGGCAGTCATTCCCGTCCCCTCCTGTTGTTATTCTATGCCAGTAATGTTTGACTCCAGTAATGTTTTTTTTTTCCTTTTGAAATAATCAAAATCAAAATAATGGCATTCAGTCCCTCACTGTTATAATGAAAATCACTGAGTCCAGGCTCAATGTCAGATATTGTGCAAACGTACGTGAAAACATTGTGATATGGAAATGTCACTATTAGTCTTGTTTTACAGATGATGGAACTGAGGCTTAGTGATTCACAGTTAAGGAAGAGGTAGAATAGCAGAAACCATAAAGTACTTATACATAATTGTGTTGCGCTTCACTGTACTCCTTTATGACTCCTGACCCACTCCTGTCCCCAGGCTATGCTGTCAACAGCCAGCTTCTGGGTCTAGATCTCACTGACTTTGCATGGGGGGGAGGAGGGTAGGATTGTAAGACTGGAAAAGTTAAGCAAAATTGTTATTTAATTGAGGTGGTCAGAAAAAATTTAAAAAGCTGTTCTCTTCAGTATGTCACTCACTTGAATAGGCATAAAGACAATATGCAGTCCTTTCTGATGTGTACACCGAAAAAGTCAAAATTTTAACTGCTATATTAAAAATTGGTAATAATAAAAGAACTCTATATCACATCAGGAATTGGAATTCAGGGGTTAAAAAATTCACCAATACCTAAAACCAATATTGTCACTAAAAGAGAAGGCATTTTACAATTCTAGTAAGCTTCATGAAATATAACAATCACAAGAGCCGGTTAATTATTTAGTATTCTGTCTAATGTTGTCTTCATGATTATGTTCAGTGAAAGTTTTAAAAAGAATTACTTTTTTTTTTCCACTTTTTTTTCCCAAATACTTTGAGCAGAGCAGCAATGAAGACATACAAAAAAAGAATCTTAGATTGTGTCCAAATGACCAGCAGATGGCGCCTAGCAAATCCAGTAGACAAGACCCAGCAGAACCTTTTAAAAATATTTCCTGCTTCCAGGTTGCTGTAGGCCTGATTTAGTAGTGGCCAATAGCAAAACTTAGTGGTCTTGACATGATGCCACATTCAGTAATCTGATAACTGACTATTGAGGATTTATTTTCTAGGAAACTTAGTTTCCTGACTGCTATCTGTTTTACAATTCTGCCACCAAGCAACTTTCATTTAGTTTGGAATTTAACAAGCTGCAGTAAATCTGTCAGACGCCTTAGTGGTAGAAATTGAGGAGATGATCATCTCTAATGCAAATTGGAGGAAGAAACAGTTGCTTCCTAGACACAGTAATGCCTTAACGTTAAAGACTATTTGCAAACTAAAGTGTATGTATGTGTGTGTGTGTCATATATTTATATGTGTGTGGTATGTATATGTGATATCTATATTAATATATATGATATGATACAAATATATATAACACATGTATGTCTCATATATGTATATATATTTCCCTTTCTTGGCTTTTATATGTACTCATAGTTTTTTTTATTTTTCCCCTCTAGCTTTAACATTTTTATTGTGTTACCTGAGAAATATGAAATTATTCACTATCTTTGCTGTTTTTCACTGTCCTTGAGTTTTCCTATTTTCTTCACTATTAGTGTTCCTGGCTCTCACTTCAGGAGCTTGATTGTGATTTTTCCTGTAACATCCTGGAATCTGATGACATATCCATCCTACTCTAGTCAAAATAGCCCCAAAGATCTATGAACCTCTTTCTTGAGAATTTGGGGCTTTTATTCAGGTATAACTGACTGTATTTGCAGAGAAGCAGGCCTCTCTATGAGAACCACTTCCTTAGTCTAGGCAGTAAGCTAGACTATTTATTTTAATTACATTATTTTTATTGAGGTAGAGATTTGCTTCTCCCTCTTCTGTTCATTAATCTTGAGCTATTTTATACTGAGAACTAAGCTCAAGAAAACTAAAATTAGCCCAGTTAATCTCAATTATTAGTCCTTCACACAGATGAGTGTTTAAAGGATATAAAATCTTTTGCTTCTCATTTTGGAGAAACTAGCATGAGGGCACTATTAACCTCCATATAGCTGATATGAGATCCAGAAGAACATGCCAGGCAAATGCATTAGGGTAGTTGAAATCAGTTACCTTCGAAATGTGCACCATGCACTGAAAAGATTCTTGTCCGTCATCATGGATCAAAATTTCTCATAGAGAATTGCCAGATGTGCTACTAATACTTGATTTTTGAAAATTGTTTAATAAAATAATAGCCAAGATTTTTTGAACTCCAAGATCCAAGTTGAGCCTAGTTGCCTCACTGTGATCTTATAATCAGTCATTTAGTGTTTCCTCATATATAAAGTAGGCTTATAAAGTTGCTTTGAAAACAAAAGATTAAGAACTAAACCATTTGAATAACTCAAATAGTTTTAAGAGTATACAAAAGCATGATTTGCGTTATGAATGCCGCTAAGTAATTTTTTTTTAGGGACCCTCACCGGCAGCCCGGACACGAACTGGCACTGCAGAGGCTGCGGACAGCCTAGCAGCCAGCGCTCAACCGCTGCACCACCAGGGGAGGCCCCCTCTAAGTATTTTTAACTTAACAAAAGGCATTTCAATGAGTAAAACCATAAATATCTACTATTTGACTACAGTTTTCCTTGACCTAAAATTTCATTTTATTTTTCTTGCATTTCTTTTTTTTTTGTAAGAGTCCCATAGCTTCTGTTTTTTGTATGTTCTGTTTTTGTGTTTTTGTTTGGGGAAGTTTGTTTAAAGAAGATTGGGGAAGATAAGAAATGGCCAGTGGCAGGTACATTAATAAAGGGTGTGGAGGAAGAGAAATTATCCTGCTGCCATTTCTGTTGCTGCTTCACTCCAAGAAAGTTTAAAAAGCTCAATGAATGAACAACAAACCCTAAATTATGTTAAGGATGAGCCTATTACCAAATTTGGTCACTTTATGCACATTCTTGAGAAATTTTCGTTTCAGACTGAGTAAAATCTCGAAAGTCCATAGAAGAGGCTGCCTGAACCATGATCCATTGTAAAAGTGGAGGTTTTTAAAACCTTGTAATAAGCCCATTTGAAAAGTGATTAAATATTGAGAAATCAGGTAAATAAATCTATATTACCCTAAGAAGCAGTATATGGAGGTTATCAGCAGGTGCTCTGGAGTATTTACAATGTTTATTACCATAGTGTATATATAGTTATACAGCATTAACAAAATATCAAAATTTCTGTCAATCAGGGATCTGTCAAATTAGGCTATTTCCATACAATCAAAACCATATATCTAAAAAATTAAGGTTTATATTCTTGGAGGAAGATTATAATATACCACATATATATATAATCATTTTGTTAAAACCAAAACAATTAGAAACAATTAGCTTTATTTTCTAATTCTAAAAAATAAGACTATTAGAAAAGGACGGTGTTGCTAATTTTCATTCTAAACAAATCCCACAGAAGAAATAAGAATAAAAGTGTTAAAATTGTATCCCCAAAATATGTTTGATTTTATTCAAAAGCTCCGCATAGAGAATATGAACCAAATAAGGAATACATTATCTCACTAATTCCTATATCAAATGTCAAATTCCAAAACTAGGTTTTCTTTTTCTTAAAATTAACAATGATCCTTTCTAAGTAAAGTCTATGTATATGACCCTAGGACGTTGATTATTCAGTCAATGGAATACATAGAACATACTAGAAAACTATTAAGTGACAGAAATAAAGTAGCTTAGATAACTATGCCATTTTAAGAGTACTAGTGCCTTTATGCTTGTTAGTCTGTTAAATATATGGTGTGGTACTCAGTGAATGTGAAGACTCTAAAAATATTTTGTAAAGTAAAAACCCCAATCATTTTGATCCCAATTATTTTTCAGACCTCTTAAAGGACAACAGAATAATTATTGGAAAATAGTTTCCTAATCTCTTACTCCCATTAGCCAGATCAATATATGAGATATGGAGAATTTGAGGAAATGGAGACATGTAGGAATTGAGTAAGCATTAAAGCAATTAAACATTACATCAACCCCCATCATTTACTAACCAGGAAATGCTATTATTGGACTTCAATAATATTTGGTAAATAAAGGCAATTTTCAGCCTAAATGGATACTAATTCCCTGGTTTAACTAAAGTAAATCTAAAATGACAGAGTACCTCCTTTTTCTTTACCCCATGATTCATTAAGTGTCAGGAGCTAATTTTATTCTACTCTGGGACCATTTTTCAAAGAAGGTTCATAATATATCACATTGCACGCTGTGCTCCACATGAAGAAAATATTCAGTACATTTTCCTAAATACTACTACAGATTGTAGTTTAAGCCTGAATTTTAGTTAAGTTACTCATCTTAATCACTTTACTATCATATCCTTTTAAAACTACTGTATTTCCTATGCATTGTTTTCCTAAAAGTTATAGTTCAGGAAGAAATTGACAAGTATTGCTTTGTGTCATTGATCAGGAGCTGATAAACTTGAAGAGCAAAGATGCCGTCTATTAAAAGTATATGATTTAATAACTTAAGGTTACAGAGCTAGAATTGTTAAAATCATCTTATGTATTTAGAAGACTGTATATAATGACTTATCGATGACATGTTCTAAACATTTAAGTCAGGGTATTTGGTGGACAAAAATGCCATCTATCAGTCAATACAAAGTTGACATTGGTACAGCCGCTGTCCCTTCTTCCTTCTAGGAACTAACCCTTACTATAGTTCTTCCCTCATTACTTCAAATCACCCAGTGACTCCCTCGATTGTTTTATTGTATCCTCGAGTCTCAAATGATCCAAGGCATAGTGGACTTCACAGTGAAATATAATAGTAATTTTTGTGATTGACTTTCTCCAGAGATGCAGTGTGAACATGTCAATAAATGGAATGATTTATAAAGGTTGCAGTGAGTGAATAGAATACCAGAACTCTTTAGAAAGAGAAAAGGCCACATGGTACTTTAACTTGCAAAGTAGTGTTTACAAATTATCAGTTTGGACCGTGGGGAGAAGTAGTTTCTAATACTGGGGATAGCATATATATATAGGCAAAATTTTAAGCCTTCTCTTTATTTTTAATATATATACAGAACACAGACAGTTGAGGTATTTAGTACAGTGTTATATTTTCACTTTGACTAAAAGGAGAGGTGTAGGGGCAGGATGGGACAGCAGGATTTCTATGATCGGAGCCAACGGCTAAAGCAGAGTCCTGGAGCCTTCGGTGGCTTTCCCAGGCTTTTATTGTGCTTTTACATGTGGTGCAGCAATCAGGTACATGGCAGGCAGGGCTGGCAGTGATCAGGGGGGACCAGGATGCTGGTAGGCCTCCAAGCCCCTTGCAAGCCTTCACCCTGGGCTTCTTTCTCCCTTCTCTCCTGCCTCTTCTGTCTCTTTTCTCCTGCCTCTGCTTCTCTTGGGTAATATCTCAATACTACTCCCAGGGCCCACAGAAGTAAACACCACAACTTACAACAGTGTAACAACTGCAGGTGCCGGATCATGCAGGGTAATCCTAATGGTGGTAGGGCAGAAAAGCCTGAAAACCATTTACCCTTCAGGAGGAAGAAGTAAAAATGCTGTTCAGATATTTTTGCAGTGGCAGTCATACAAAATTACCCTAAGATTTCAGCATATTGAAACTCATGCAGTTGAACCTAATTCTTGGTATATTTTATAGATGATGAAACAGTTATTATCCTTCACTGATTAGAAAGATACTGAAAGTAGATCCATTCATATCAATCAGCAAAAGTCTTTAAGCTAATTAAACTCTAATGCATGTCCCTTAAATAACTATAAGAAGTCTTTAGAGGTTATCTAGTTCAAGTTCCCAAACCCAACACATCATCAAAAACAGACTTCCTGGGCCTCTCTCCATACTACTGTCTAAACCCAAAGGAGGGAACAATACCTATTTTTCGTACTCACTAGTTTTGTTACTCTCGCCAAATTACTGGTTCCAGTTTCATCATGTAAACTAGTAGGATAGAGTTATTAAACACCTCAATATTCAGTGGTTCACCACATAAATGGAAATAGCATTAATTCATAAAGTCAGAGCCAAGATTCTTTTACTACAATTGGAATCCTTGCATGCCTTTCCCAGGCTCAGTTGAAATGCCATCATTTATATCCTACTGGAATACAGAATCTAATTCTTAATGTATCTTTATGGATTGTCATTTTATTTTTCTCTTAAATTTGTGACTAACTATAATTTTTTATACTTCATTATTCAGAGAAAATATGATTATATAAAGAAAATCATATCCATGCATGAGTGTCCAAAGACTCATACAGCTTTTCCAGGTAGTAATGTTTCTCATTTTTCATTGTTAACTAAAAATTCAGTATTGCTTTATGAGTTTCCCAGGCTGACTTCTTGCTATCCCTTTGCTCCTAAAACACATCTCTTTTTGTCAATTAGCTCTGCAATATATTGTAACTAAAAATGTTTGACTCTCAGCTTTTTTGTGATTTTATGCTTATGGTGGTTTATAGAAATAATTTGAGGGCGGTTGTGTTTTTTTTAACTGTTGGCCTTTTTTTAGGTGTACTGATGCTGAAGGACTATGAGCTTTCAGAAGTTCTGGAAAGACTATAAAGTTCTGATTGTTATGGTACCTGTAGTCGGACTCATACACTTGGGGTGGCACAAAATCAAAAGCAGCCCTGTTTTTCAAGTACCGAGTAAGGACGACGTTCCTGAACCAGATAGTCTGGCACTTGCAAATCCTCAGAAGAGCCACGTCCAAGGGAAATAAGAGACTTGCAGTCTTTGGGTAAGTTTGATTTGATTCATTGGGAAAACCAAGTGGTATATTCCACCAGATGGAAAGCATGATCATTAAAAAAGCATGGTACTCTGGCACAAAAAACCTTAAGTTGTTAAGTTACTTGTTTTTATTATGACCTATTGGCAAAATATTTTTCTCCAGTTGCTTCTAGAAAAGTTTGTTGCACAAAAACCTTGGACACTTGCTTAGCAGTTTTTGTAAAAAGAGAGAAATGGCAGTTAGCCTATAGTACTTGTTCTGGCCTTTCTGGTTGGCAGTGTTACCAGAATCATGAACTTATCCAAAGAAGCAGTTTTCTTTACCATAAATCCATTCCAGCTCTTACAAATCTGTAAGCTGCAAAAAAGAAGTTCTTTATTATTATTGTTCTCTGTTTTTTCCAAGACAAAACTAATTGTACTTATCACTTAGTATCTGTTATTTTGATTTCAAAATAATTTGTTACTATAAGAGTCATTGAATAAGAGAATCCTTTATCCATAATTCCCAAACTCAAAAAGTCCAAAAGGTTTTGTTGAAAATGCTTTGGTTATAGAACCTGATTTTAAGTGACATGCGGCAGTATGCAGTCTTTATTCCACTGGATATGAATATTTAGTTTCACTGCAGAAATTGTGTTTGATTATTAATGTTACACTATGCTATTATATTATGGATGTTAAACACTGGCTATTTTGTTATGGATATTATACACTATATTTCTAAAATGTCAGAAATTCTGAATTAGGAAACTCACCTGGCTCCAGATAGAATGTTGTGATTTTAGAGAATTGTGGAGGATGTTCTATAGAAATACACCTTTATGACCTTCAAGTGAGTAATAGTAGGCCTTAAATTCCTTATAGACGAAGAATCTCAGTAATATTTTTCCCACATATAAAAATATTATTAATTAGAGGGAATGTAAATTTGAGATTAGGAATTCTATGTCCTAAAACACTAAAGTAAATATTGTAAGTGACTTTAGTTGCCAATATTACAGCAGTTTTATAGTCAAAGTTAGAAAGTAGAAGCCACTACTTACCAGTCAAGCAAGCAAAAACAAATATTAAGACAGACTATGGGTGGGCAAATGTTAAAACCAGATTTAGAGTGAGTTAAACACTGCTTCCTAACAGTTGAAGTACACCAAAAAAAGTCCCTATTTTCTTTCTTATTTTTACTGTTATTATAGAAAATTATATACATACCCTAAAATAGGAAGAACATAGTATCCATACTTAGCTTTACATTTATCAACGTTTTGCCTAATCTTTTGTCTTTCCCCCACCCTTTTATTTAATTGCTAGAATATCTTAGAGCAAGTCTCAAGTCATGTGACCACAGTGCATTGTCACACTGAAAAAATTAATGGCAGCTCCTTACTACCATTTCATACCTAGGATCATGTGCATATTTCCCAATTTGCCCTTCAGCTATTCCATTCCCCTCCTAATATGCGTTTTTAAAAATTGCCCACATTCTGAGTTTAGTTGATTGAGCCCTCATTTCATCATTAAACAAGTTCCTCCTCCCATATTTACTGTAATTCAGTAATTAGATAAGGGGGCTTGCTTTGGTTCTGTTTCATTTTCTTTTGAAACAAGAACACTGTGGATGGTGCAGTTTTGTACATTCTTGTGAATCACAGTGTATCACATATAATGTCTGATCTACTTTTCAGGACTGCTAAGATTCAAGTGAGTTGTCGATCCAATATCCCTATTATAAAATCTGTTGATGCTGTTGCTCTAATCTAAGAAATGGTAAACTTTATAAAGGACCAAAGAGTACATATTTTAGGCTATACAGACCATATGGTCTCTGTTCTAACTGCTCAAATTTACCTTGTACCACAAAAGCATTCATATACAATAGTAGAACTTGAGCCAGTAAAACTACTTACAGAAATAGACAGTGGGCTGGGTATGGCCCATGAGCTGTAATTTGCCAACTGCTTTGACAATCTGATCCATTATTTTCTTAGGGGTTGCAAAAGGATACTGTATAATCTTTCTATCCTTCCTATTCCATTTATTAACTGGAAAAACTTTTTCTGATGAGCTGTTCAGTTACCCTAAAGTGTATTCATATAGGAAAAGCTCGATAAAATATCTCCCTTTTTTGATTTTTATTGTAGCAAATTTGTGTTCTAGCAGCATTGAAGGATTTTTGTTTCTGATGACAATGTGAATTCATGGGTATTCATGCATGTATTTTAATTATCTCAATCTATTAGTCATTATCCTCCTTAGTGCTCAAATTGTCCCTTCATGGATTCCCTCCAAGTCACTTTTTTTCCTATGCCCTTTTGATTATGGCCCAAAGTAGTCTTCAGTGACACTTTTACTCTTTGGCAGGAAAAGTTCTTAGCTGGTATATTCCTTGCCTTACACCTACCTAGAAGCAGCCATTTTTTTTCAAGGAATCCTGATTCATTTTAAGAGAAATTTTGATAAATATGTTTTTTTAAATCATGTTTCATAGTACTTCTCTGAATTCATGTAAGTTTTACTACTATTTTAGTTAAGTTATCCCTTGCTTCAAAAGCCCCTGTACCACCTCTGTATCCAGGAATAATCAGAACCATTCTTCAGACAGTAACTTTTGGAATTATAGGTTCCATTATTTAGGAAGTGAGTCATAAACAGCTGAATTGATACGGCCAAACATATACTAAAATGAACCCAGTGTTTTGTTGTGTTTTTACCTTTAATTGGCCTTTCTTTAGAAGTGTAGGTCTAGACCTATAAGTCAACCAGATCTGACATCCTAAAAATGAATTTGGAGTCACCAATACTTTGATTTCATCTTTTCTTATTTTATATATATATATATATATACACACTAGCTAGGTGATATGATTACTGATCTTACTACCACAAGAATGAAAGAAGTGACAACTTGGCAATTACTTTTGAAAAGTTGTGCACATTATTAGGTCTTGAAAACTTTTTGACTAGAGAAATTTTGTCAGTCATGTTTTGTTAATTGGTTTCTATTATGGTTTGTATGTATGTGTTGTTATATGCAGATTGTTTATAGGAGTCTTTTCACCAAGATTTTACTTAAATGTATTTCACAGATCTTTCTTCACCTAAAATAACCATTGAAATAATATTTGAGTAACTTAGCTGTTTCTTGCACAAGATAAAGAGATATTTTTCTTCCACAAACCTGAAAAAAGAATATAGCTTTACCATCACAGGGAAAAAGATGATCATCATTGTCTTAACTTTATTTTGGCTCAGTTGTATTGTTACAGTCAGTAACATTGCATTGCATTGTCAGTCCTTATGAGTGACAGCCTATAATAATTTAACATTTCATATAACATTCCTTCATTACCTTCAACCCTTTGTACATCTTCAGAGTATCTTTTTGGTCTGCATCATGTTTTGTCAATTCTGCTTTAGTCTGGGTAGTTGAGTTAGTTTCATTTATGCAAGATACTATTCAAGTGGTTACCAAACTTAGCATATTCCTGAAAATAACTATTAATCAACTGAACCTTTATACCTCAAGTCACATTATTTAGCCTTATTTAGGAAGCTGGTACAAGTGCCAGTGTAGTTAGCATATATAATAACTAGTTAGACTCGTTAAAGTTCAAGTTTACAAATCAAAGATTTAGAATAAAGAATAAAACAGTGAATATTTAGTCTAAATTGATTTACATTTCTCATTTTATGGAGGGTTTTACCATAAAATTCCATTTTCTAAAGAAGGAACAGCAATAAAGTACTAAACTGCAATCTAGAATATTTTGAAATTATTTGTCTACAATATTTTATTTTTGTTTTTTACAGAAAGAAGCAGCTTTGAATCACCTTGATATTGAAAGAGGAGATGAAAAACACCAGTTGGATTAGAAAGAACTGGCTTCTTGTAGCTGGGGTTTCTTTCATAGGTGTCCATCTTGGAACATACTTTCTACAGTGGTCTGCAAAACAATCTGTGAAATCTCAGTCTGTAGGCAAGCAAAAGAATATTGAAGAATGAAGTAAAATAAATATTTAAAATTAATAATATGTCATTAAATCATTACATACTGATTACCTTCATAAATATGGAGCTGTTTAATTTTATAGCTACAATGCTGCATCTTTAGACTTTCATTCCTAAAGAATAATTCTTTTAAATGTTAAAATCCATGACAATGCAATAAATAGAAAACTGGTTAACAAAATAAAAGCTGTCTTTGCAAATTACTACATCAAGTAAGATGTCTCGTTTAGAAGCTAAAAAGCCATCGCTGTGTGAAAGTGAACCACTGGCAAGTGAGAGATTCAGGACCACACTTTCTGTCTTTAAAGGAATTGTAACATCGTGCTATGGCCCCACAGGTCGGCTGAAGCAGCTCCACAATGGCTTAGGCGGCTCTGTATGCACAACTTCACAGTCATCAGCTCTGCTCTCTAATCTTTCCGTCACCCATCCTATTTTAAAGATCTTGACAACTTCCCTGCAAAATCATGTGTCATGCTTCAGTGATTGTGGCTTATTCACAGCCATTCTTTGCTGCAACCTAATTGAAAATGTTCAGAGAATAGACTTGACACCCACCACTGTCATCAAATTAAATAAGCATCTTTTGAGCCTCTGTACCAGCTATCTCAAGTCTGAGGTCTGTTGTTGTCGAATCTCAGTTGACTTTAGTAGTACTCACCTGCTCCTTTGCTTGGTGCGTAGTATATTAACAAGTAAACCAGCCTGTATGCTCATCCAAAAGGAAGTAGACCACGTTAGTGCTTTGATTCTGAAAGCCTTTTTGCTTACAATTCCAGAAAATGCTAAAGATCACATTATTTTAGGAAAGAGTATCATTATTCCTTTAAAAGGTCAAAGAGTTATAGATTCTACTGTATTACCTGGAATACTTATTGAAATATCAGAAATTCAAATGATGAAGATATTACCTATCAAAAAATCAGATTCCTTCAAAGTGGCCCTCTTTTGTTCATCTTTATCTGGTGACCTTTCTGATACTGCAGAAGGAACCGTGTTGGTCAGTTATGGGGTTTCTCTTGAAAATGCTGTACTGGAACAATTGCTTAATCTAGGAAGGCAACTAGTGAATGATCATGTAGATCTTGTCCTGTGCCAAAAAGTGATACACCCATCTTTGAAACAGTTTCTTAGTGTGCATCATATAATTGCCATAGACAGAGTTGGACTGGCTCTTATGGAACCCCTGAGTAAAGCAACAGGTAAAAAGCATTCTTGGTTTTTGCCCCTTACACTTAAATGACATTTTCCTTGAGCAGCTCTTTTCTTAGTGTTTGTCACTGTTAACATCTTGAAAAATTTTAGAAGGTGCCAACCTCTCCCCAAGTTTGAATATTATATTTAGCAGCAAAAAGTTGTTTCTGAAAAAGATGCTGTATTATTATTCACTTATCAAAAACAGTGATTGGAGCTATTTTCAATTTTTTTTAAGCACCAAAATGTACTATGGTACCTGTCATAGTCTAAAACTGTTAACCTGCAAATACTTTATAATGGAGAAATGTAACATCTGCGTAGTCATACAAAGTTTTTCATACTTCAAACAAAATTCTGCTTAGTTTTAAAACTCTTCAATCACATTATGTTGAGAAAGTAATTTTGCAGATACAATATCCCCTCTTCACTTTTATATAATTCCAACAAACAATTGTACTTCTGCCTAAATAGTGGTTTCTAATTAGATATGTGGGTGTGCTCTAGCTCTAAATTCATCTTTGATTTTCAGCATTTAAAAACCAGTCTGATCCACAGTAGGTATTCTCAAATGCTTGCTGAATTGACTATATATTTAGTAACATACAGAATTATAATAGCCAAGAAATTCACTGTATTTTACTAACTTTGCAAGTATAAGGTTGATAATCTGTCACAGCCAATGAAAAATGACAAGGTGAAGAATTCTGATGAGTCACTGTTCAATAAACTGCATTGACAGCCTATCAGAAAGATGATTTTTTCATTCTGATAACCTTCAATTTTTAAGTTATTAAACCATTGTTACCATTCACTATATAGTTATAAATCACAAAAAAGGAATATCATGAATGCTAAGTGTTGAATACATAAAATGAAAATTATGAAATAATGGAAATAGTTATGTGGAATTCGTTGTTGGTGTGGATCAGACTCATTCTTAAATATTTACTGGCTTTTCATAAATCAGGTGATTTCCAGCTTAGGGATATTGGTTAGCCAACTTTTAAAAGCATTTGCCCATAGAAAACATTATAAATGGGAACTGGGTTTCCATGCCAGTTCACAGTTCTTATTTATCTCTAACTAAAATGTAGGATAGCCAGATCTTTAATTTTAGATCTTGGGAGTAGAGACCTTTGAGATAAAAGGAGTTGGGAGAGTGAGGGAATGGAAGCAATACTTTACCAAGCCTATGGCTAAATAAACACTGTGAAGCAAGTTTGGGACATAATCCATCTTCCCTGGTGTATCTAAGTTAACATTACTTTCTCCCCATTCAAAAAAATTCCTCTTTATTGATAGAGGTTAAGTAGTGAGTCTATTACTATGTATGGGCCACTGGTGTATCTGAACGTTATCCTGGTTTACAGAGCAATTTTCACATTCAATTTGGTTTGATTTATTTGTAAAGTAGACATTATTATCCCCATTTTACTCTCGTATGGGAAATCCACCCAGAAAAGTGAAAAATGACGTGGGTGACTTGCTCAACATTCAATGACTAAAAAGCATCAAAGCCAAATCTCAATATAGATGTTTTTTTTCATCACAAGATTATGAAAGATTTAAGCCTTACCCCCCTTAAAATGCAAATCACTCCAGTATTCCTTATTTTTGGAGGCTTCAGAAGTCAAAAAAGTAAAATTGTTCGGTAGTTATTTTCAAGACTCTTACACATTTTTTTTTTTAAGCTGGAAGTATTTTTAGATGTTAATGTTTTAATCCAATCAGTTTGAAAGAAACTGTCTTTAAATGTTAGTTAGGAATCTGGTATAAAGGGCTGCATTACTCAAGAGTTAGTTTTAGTCTTAAGACTTCAAAGTAGCATTGTTATAGAAGTTTGGTGTAATAGTTTCTTTCCATAAATAACCTTTCAACAGAGATTTGGGAAATTTTCAAGTCTTCCTAACTTCTCATTTTCTCATATTTTTACTAATTTGTGTTTTGGAAATTTTCCTATTTTACCTATGCAAGAGGGAGAGCAAAAATAATTAAGATAGCAAAAGAATAACAGTGAAATATTATAAAATGAATGGCACATTATATTTAGGCACAGTTTAAATAACTTTTAACATAAAAACAGTTGATAGGAAAAAAATTCTGTATGTTCCCTGAGTAGAGAATCCCCCCAAATCAACTACACAGCTACTTGGATAGCTTCATTTGCATGTGTTATGTTGAAGATAAAATAATGCCTTAAAAAAATACCCTCTTCACAGCACCTTTATTCCATATTAGTGGGGTTAACTGAATCTCTGATCCCTGAAAAGACTTACAGGGTTCCTAGTCTCCTGGAGAATGTAAGCAAAATTTTGTTTGCTTTTTTCTGAAGAGTATAAAATAGCTTCTAACAGATGTTCAAAGAAGTCTGTTAGCCAAAAGAACCTCTGTTTTATTTTATTTACTAGAATACTGCTTATAGGCTTAAGATGTACCTTATTTTTTAATCCTATATTTCATAATTTTGTATGCTTCTGAAACTTTTTTATATTGACTAGGAAAAAATATTATAATTTTAAATGATTGCATGCACCACTTTTACTCATCATTTTTTGTTTTTTAAACTAAAAAATAGGAACACAGCCTATTGGTTCCCTGGACTCAATCTCTCCTAGTAGCTATGGAAGTGTGAAAGATTTGCGCTCTGAAAAATTTGGCTCCAAACATTTTTTTCATCTTCTTCCTAATGAAGCAACTGTCTGCAGTTTGCTTCTCTGCAACAGAAATGATACTGTCTGTGATGAGCTGAAGGTAGGTAATGAACTTTGAATTCTATATATATTGGCTGAGACAATGATTAAATAGTCACAATGATTAAATAGTCACTTCATATCTCTACATGGTATCAAAAGCACAAACAACAAAAATGAAAATTAAAAGCATAAGTTCATTTAATTGTCTATGACTACAGTAGACTTGGCATGTGTGCCATTTATTATTTCTACTTATTTACAAACAATCTGGAGGTCCATGATGTTAACACTCCTTGAGAAATCGAATTGTGTATTCTTTAATGCTGATGTGTATGAATAATTCACTAAGAAGATAAGTTATTTAATTATACCCACCATCTACCTCAATAGAGTCTGTTGTTCTCGACCAGCAATAACACATGCAACATTATATAAGGGACGTAATAACATATGGTATAGGTCATAGGCTTAAAAATTCATGTATATTCAAGGAAATTATCTTGGAGAATATTAAGGTTTCACTTTTTTTCTACTAATAAGCAAGTGTTGCTATGTTATCATTTTCATAGCAACTTTGAAATCCTATAGCATTTAAACAACTAATTTTTTAAACAAATTTTTTAGTAAAATCACTGGCAAATATCGTTGACCCAGATATTTGGAGTTCACCCGTTTATAAATCTTAAGTTGAAGAGCCAAATGTATATGAAAGAAAATATTAATTAGGTTCACAGAAACAAACATCTGGTTAAAATACTTTTGTTCAATCTCTAATCTTTAATATCCAAAATGTATTCATCACATTACAACATTGGCAACACAGGTTTTGTTCCTTTGCCATTAAAATCAGGCTCTTTGAATTCGTTATCTAAGTTGCCTTAGGATAGGACATGGTTTTATTTCTTTATGCATCTGATGTGAGTGTCTGATTCTGATTTATTTCTTTTTTTAGCGCACATGCCAAACAGCACTGCATGTTTTGCAGTTAACAATCAAGGAACCGTGCGTTTTGTTGGGAGGTGGCTGTACTGAAACTCATTTGGCTGCATATATCAGATACAAGGTAGGGTAGATAGTACTCAGATTATCTGAGTTCTCAGAAACATTTGTTTTATGAGATAATATTCCAAATCATAATACCCTGGAGACTTTAATGCTCATTTTTTCAGTAGTCTAACTTGAAAGCATTTTAGAAAAATAACTTATCTAAGTACAGAATAATATCTTTATCAGAATGATTATTATAAATTATCTAACCTTTTTATAAATGATCACATTCTTAGACTATTATCTAATTTCATTGCATGTTGAAATGAACATCCTGTTAATGATAGTTCTCAGAGATAAACTGCTGTGGTAAAATTATAATTGATGTTCACAATGAAAGTTTCAAGTCTACAAAATACTTTAATACCTTCGTATCATCAAGAAAATAATTTCATTTACTTAAGCATTCCAAGTGTTGGATTCAATTATAATTTTAACTGGTATTCATTTATGACAAATGTTAATTCTGTTAGAATGTGTTTGATTAGTCTAGGAAATTCCATTTCATGACAATTGTTAGATGAATTTAGTACATTATAGTTCTGATTGATTATTTCATAAATGTTGACCTTCTTTATTTGAAAATAGATATAAAAAGGTATGTGTTTTCCAAAATCTTGCAGTTGATTCTTTTGTTAGACAGGAGTGTTATCAACAGATACTGAGGTGCTTCTAGTGAATGACTGGGATTGGTGAGAATATAAGTGACTTTTATAAAAATGCCCTGTGCTGCTCCCCCAGATAATTTAAAATCTGTTTGATGAGAAAGTCCATTCATGAAAAGTTATCAGTATAAATAAATACTTCATTTGGGATATAGTCTTCAGGAACTTCACCCTGTGTGCATTGATGGGTGAATGAATAAAGAAAATGTGAAACACATATACACACTGGTATTAAAAATGGAAGGGAGGGCCTCCCCTGGTGGCGCAGCAGTTGAGCACTGGGCTGCGAGGCTGCCCGCAGCCTCTGCAGCACCGGTTCGTTCCCTGGCCACCAGCGAGTGTCCCACAAAAAAAAAAAAAGAAAAGAAAAGAAGGGAATCTGTCATTTGTGATAGCCGTGGGTGAACTACCATATGCGCACACACACACACACACACACAAACTGGAATATTATTCAGCCACAAACAAGAAGGAAATCTTGCCATTTGTGTCAACATATGGCATCAACGTAGGCATCAAAGGAATTATACAATTGAAGCAAGTCAGACAAAGATAAATATAATGTTATCTCACTTGGAATCTTTAAAACAAAACAAAAACAAACATAAAAAAAGTCACTAATACAGAGAAGAAATTGGCGAATGCCAGAGCTAGGGGTGGGAGGTAGGGCCTCCCCTGGTGGCGCAGAGGTTGAGTGCTGGGCTGCGAAGCTGCCCCCAGCCTCTGCAGCACCGGTTTGATTCCTGGCCGCCAGCAAGGGTCCCACATGGTGCAACAGACCTCTCCTGCAGCACCCGCTGCTCCCCTCAGCAGTATATTTCATCAGTCTGCCTGTTCTGCTCCCCGCTCTGGCTGTGGTGAATCCTCTCACCCTCCCGCACTTCTGACTGTACCCAGTGCTTGTATAAATAAATCTTTAAAAAAAAAAAAAGGTACAAACTTAAAAACAAATAAGTCATGGGGATGTGATTACAACGTGTGACCTGTAGCCAATAGTACTTGTATTTCATATCTGAAAGTTACTAAGAGAGTAAATCTTAAAAGTTTTCATGACAAGAAAAAAAACTTACAACTGTGTGTTAGCTACACTTATTGTGATGATCCCTTCACTGTATGTATATAAATATCAAATGATTGTGTTATATATCACAAACCAATACTTTTTTTTAAAAGATTTATTTATTTATTTATACAAGTACTAGGGTACAGTCAGAAGCGCGGGAGGGTGAGAAAATTCACCAGAGCCAGAGGGGGGAGCAGACCAGGCGGACTGACGAAATACACTGCTGAGGGGAGCAGCGGGCGCAGCAGGAGAGGTCTGTGCACCATGTGGGACCCTCGCCTGGTGGCCGGGGATAGAACCGGCACTGCCTTGGCTGCGGGCAGCTTCGCAACCCAGCGCTCAACCACTGCGCCACCGGGGAGGCCCAAACCAATACTTTTTATATTAATTATAAGTCAGTAAAATGTTATTAGAATATACATTATGGGAAACAAAATTAGTGCCCATGTATTGATTCTGAGTGTACAGTGACATAGTCTGTAAATGGGATAGAATAAACTAGAAAGTGTTTTGGATGAGGAAGATGCCTTGCATAGGATTTTGAAGAAACAATATAGTGTGAAAGATGGTGGGGCAAAGAAAGGTAGAGATTATCTCATCTGATTGAAATCTTCCAGGTAAAAAATGTCTTAAAGTGTCTTAAAGTGGTCACGTTTCAAGAAGTTATATCTCTTAACTATGATTCACTTAATAGTTTGCTAATATATTACTTTTTCTTTTTCTCATGAAATTTGTAGGATAAGCTTTTTAGAATTGTGGAACCAAAAAAAAAGTTTAAGATCATATTACCTTTTCATTAATTCAAAGAGCAAATTATTCATTTTTAAACATTGCTGTGAAAATGAAACATGTCCCTAAATGGTCTTTGTTTTAATAATAAAATGTACTCTCATTTAAAACATATCTCAAACATTCTGCCAAATATAAATAGTACTGCATTAGGGACAATAGTCTTCAGGTGCTTCTTCTTATATGTACAAAAACCTGTGATTTATGCATTATATCCTGTCCTTTGTATATTAAGGAGGTACTACTGGGCAGTCATTTAAAATAAGTTGATGGGCCTCCCCGGTGGCACAGCGGTTGAGCGCTGGGTTGCAAAGCTGCCCGCAGCCTCTGCAGCACCGGTTCGATCCCCGGCTGCTCCCCGGCCACCGGAGGAGGGTCCCACATGGCGCGCAGACCTCTCCTGCCGCCCGCTGCTCCCCTCAGCAGTGTGTTTCGTCAGTCTGCCTGCTCTGCTCCCCGCTCTGCTTCTGGTGAATTCTCTCACCCTCCCGCACTTCTCACTGTACCCAGTGCTTGTATAAATAAATAAAAATAAATCTTAAAAAAAAAGGCTTAAAAAAATAAAATAAAATAAGTTGATGACGGGGTTTATTCTGATTCACTCATTCTGATAATGTGACTGGTAGCATATATTTTTACTATAACCAACAAGATTAAGGGGACTATAAACTGGTCAGCTGACTCATACATTTAGAAACCCCTAAATAAATAAAAATAATAGCGATATGAATAAGAGTTTGATCAAGTATTGTATTTTTTCTGAAACATTTTTATAATATTAATTTGCTCAGTATGTGTTTTCAATGGTTTTATTACTCTTTAGATTTGTAATGAGCCAGAGAACATTCTCAAAGATAATGGATGTACTCAAATAGAACTTCAACTAATTGCTGAAGCATTTTGCAGTGCACTGGAATCTCTCGCTGGTTCTTTGGAACATGATGGAGGTGATATTCTCACTGATATGAAGTATGGACACCTTTGGTCAGTTCAGGCAAATTCTCCCTCTGTTAGTTGGCAAGACTTGCTTTCAAGATGTGGCTGTGGACTATACAATAGCCAGGAAGAGCTTAACTGGTCTTTCTTAAGGAGTACTCACCATTCTTTTATGCCACAAACCTGCCTTCCACATGAAGCTGTGAGATCAACCAACAACCTAACCTTGGACTGTTTTGCTGCTAAGATTAGCGGCCTACAAGTAGCTGTGGAGACTGCCAATTTGATTTTGGATCTTTCATATGTCATTGAAGATAAAAACTGATGTAAGAGAACACTGTGTTTATATTATAAAAAAAAAAAAAGAAAAGCTGAAAAACCACTCAAATGTCAAGAGAAATACTGAGTAAATTTGTTCTTTCCCAAAGCCTTTATAATTAGACAGGTGATTCATAAAATTATAGATTCATTTACTGAAGGAAAAAAGGTATGATTCTTAAATAGAAATACCATATAATAAAAATATGAAGATTTGTGATGAAAGATATTGTAATTATCTTAGGGATTCCATACATACCACTATACATTGTGTCCCTGGTATTATTTCCCCCTCTCCCCCACTGGTATTATTTTTTTAAAGATTTTATTTATTTATTTATTTATACAAGAACTGGGGTACAGGTCAGAGGCATGGGAGGGTGAGAGAATTCGCCAGAGAAAGAGCGGGGAGCAGAACAGGCAGACAGACCGAAGACACTGCCGAGGGAAGCAGCGGGTGAGGCAGGAGAGGTCTGCCATGCCATGTGGGTTTCTCCCTGGCTGGCTGGGAATTGAACCCATGCTGCAAAGGCTGGCACAGCTTCACAGTGCTGCGCTCAACCCACTGCACCACCGGGGAGGCCCACCACTGGTATTATTTTTGCATCATTTTTAAGAACATACAGAAATCTATGCTCTAGTTAAGTTATACTTACTATAGAATTTTTTAGTGAATAAAGTAATAGTAACTGCGTATGTTTAAAGTACAAAATTAAATTCCAAAGTATCAAAAAAAATTCACTACATATTGCTCAATCCAAAGAAGTGTTCAAATTGCACATTTAGTGTTCTTTGTCTGAGGCTATGTCATTCAGTGTTAGGTCATTGTTGAAAGCTTTGTCTGGTTGCAATTGCTAATTTGTATCACAGTTTTTAATTTTTGTTATTTTGAGAAAATTTGTGATTAGAAATAAAAGTGGGTTTATATAGATACTAAGGTAGAAACAATTTCGTATTGTCTTCACATTTAAAGCAGTAGGAAATACTAGTTGTTTTAGACCAGAGGTTCTCAGCCTTAGCACTATTGACATTAAAGACCAGATAAATATCTGCTGTGCTGTGGCTGTCCTGTGCATCACCAGAGGTTTAGCAGCATTCCTAGCCAACAGACACTAGAGCACAGTCCACCTAGGAAAAATCAAAAATTTTTCTAGACATAGACAAAATTATCTTTCGTTATGAAGGAAAACAGCATAGGGAAAGAGTGGAAGTTATTTCTCCAGTTTAGTCAATAGTGCAAAAACCAAAAACTAGAACAGCTCCTGTAATTAAAGTGGAGATACTGATGTTTCACTAAGGAGTATAATTTGAATTTTATGCAATAAAGATATGGTTATAAAGTCTACAGGTTTATGACTTACAAGATTTCCTTAGCAATAGCTTTTACTTCAGTGAAAATTAAGATTTTCTTTCTTATAACAACAAAAGACAGAACATGGACGGGAAATGACAAGAACCTGGAACCTCTATTTCCTACCATAGAATGGAACAGTACTGCAAGGCAGAAAACCTTTTCCCAGACCTCAAGTTAGAAATTTTCAACAACACATGAGAACTATGACATGATCACAAAAAACCCTCCACAAGTTCAGATTCATAGCCAAACCTGAAAGTAACAGCACAAAAGACAAACAAAACATGTCACAGAAGGAAATATTGAAAACAAAATTTCAAGAGGGAAACCAAATAAAAAGTGTAGCCAGATTTTACTTGTCAAAAAAGATTTAAGTGGGCCTCCCCTGGTGGCTCAGGCTGTTGAGCGCAGTGCTGTGAAGCTGTCCACAGCCTCTGCAGCACTGGTTCAATCCCGGCCGGCCAGCGAGGGTCCCACATGGCGAGGCAGAACTCTCCTGTCTCGCCTGCTGCTCCTCTCAGCAGTGTATTTCGTCAGTCAGCCTGTCCTGTTCCCCGCTCTGTCTCTGGTGAATCCTCTCACCCTCTGCGCATCTGGCCTGTACCCCCGTTCTTGTATTAATAAATAAATAAATCCTTTAAAAAAGAAGATTTAAGAAAGAAAATTCCTAAAAATGTAAGTAAAAGTAGAAGAAAATACCTTCTTTTGGGGAGCAAGAGTAAAGGCTGTGTGAGAAATGAAAATAAATGGTTCAATCAATATTGGAGACAAAATTCTTAGCCAAGAGTAACCCAAGAAGTTAGCTTCACCAGTGTCCAAATCTCACTTCCCAAAAGGTTAGGGACAGAAAATTCCTACATTAGTAAGACCAAGCAATGAGGTTTAAAAACAAAGTCTTAAGGGACAAATAGGAAATGCAGAAAATAAATACCTTCTTGGAGTAAGCAAGCAATATTAAAAGATAAGATTTTTAAATCCCCAAGTCACACTAAACTAGTTCATACAGTTTCTCCCTTTTATCCATCTTAAATTTAGAGAGAGAAATAATGAAAAGATTTCTCACCACTTATTTCCCATTAGATTTCTGCAGAGAGAAAGAACAGGAATTTCACTTGATCAAAATCCTTACCTTCCTCACAAATATGTTCAGAAGTCCTAGTTCTCATTCCCTGCGATACAAACAGTTCCATCCTGTTTAGTAGGGATCCTGACTAGTTCCCCAAATTGCAGGGCCTAAAGGAAATCATCTCCCAGATTCCTCTGTGTTCTAGGCTGACAAATAATCAAACAAGTATTAGACAAATTGATGAGAAAAAAGCAAAAAGAAATTTAATAATAACATGTATTGCATTTGAGGGGCCTCCCTGGTGGTGCAAGGGGTTAAGCACAGCACTATGAAGCTATCTGCAGCCAGTGCAGCACGAGTTCGATTCCCGGACGGCCGGGGAGCTACCCACATGGTGCAGCAGACCTCTCCTGTCTCACCCACTGCTCCCCTCAGCAGTGTATTTCAGTCAGTCTGCCTGTTCTGTTCCCCACTCTGTCTCTGGTGAATCCTCTCACCCCGTCCCCCACACACCTCTGGGCTGTACCCCTGTTCTTGTATGCATAAATAAACTAATCTTAAAAAAATGTATTCCACTTCCATACATGAGAGAAATCCAACATGATGTAGTAATTTAGTGACATGATCATACATATGAAATAGTTTAGCTGGGGCAGAAGAACTTTGGTGGGAAAAAGGGAAGGTCAGTTAGAGAAGTTAACAGAGGAGGCACAGTAGACAAAGATATGCATATTTAGGTTCTTCTTTTTCCATTGACAAAGGATAAAGAGATTAAGTCCTTCATGCCTTACAGAAAGAAGTTTTCATGTTAATATCTTTCTCAAAAGTATCCTGCACCCAGCCTTTAGAGCTTCATGAAATCAAGCTTTTGCCAAAAAGTTTTGTCTTGAGGTGACAGGTTTTTGCTCCCCTACAGAAACACCATTGTCATAGATCAGGTCATCTTGGGGGTCAGGAGGGGGTGTGGGTATGATTAAATAATTTAGAATTTACATGGGATGAATTTGACAGGGGAGGAGGTTAAGGGAAGGTGTTTATGTTCACATACTTTGAAATGTTTTTAAAATGCACACTTTCTCCCATCTGCATGCCCTTCTTAACTCTTAGCCAAGAGCAGTGCACCTGAACAAGATAATATGTGGTTTCAAGAATATTCATCCACCCATAGTAGAAATTCCTCCTCCTTTTTTTTCATCAGATAGAAAAATTATTGAGTTCATCTAACTATAGAAATACAGCATAAACTGGAATTAAAAACACAAAGTATTGCATCCTCCCTGGTGGCACAAGGGGTTAAGCACAGCACTATGAAACAATCTGCAGCCACTGCAGCCCGAGTTTGATCCCTACCCAAGGAGCTACCCACATGGTGCAGCAGACCTCTCCTGTTTTGCCCGCTGCTCCCCTCAGCAGTGTATTTCAGTATACCTGCCTGTTCTGCTCCCCACTCTGTCTCTGGTGATCCTCTCACCCCCCCACTCTGCACCTCTGGCCTGCACCCCAGTTCTTGTATACATAAGTAAATAAATCTTAAAAAAACACAAAGTATCAAGTAAAGTTATGCAAAATATATAAGATACCTATCATTTATGAGAGAAATAAAAATAAAGTTCATATTATTAACAACTAACATAAATCACTTCTGCAATGAACAGAAATTCTCCTACTTCCACTCACTTCATCATTTCCTAATCTCTCTTGCTTTAAAATATACCCAGAGGAATAACAGGTACAAGAGTGTTGTCAGCTAGTATCAGCTTCAGTGACAAAGAAGGACTAGAGGAGTATGTGGAACTAAATTTAGCGTCTGCTTTGAAAGCCTAAGTTTAGAAACCACAGGACTTGGTTTAAATCATTTTCAGGCTCAGAAACATAGAGGTAAAAATCATCAGTGACAGGTATTTGTCCAAAGCAGAACATTTTTAAAAAGGGCTGACATTTTCTAAGTGAAATGTGCTTCTTGAGTGGTTTAGAGTATTTCAAACCAATTTGCTCAAATCGTGGAGTTTTATTGCTGGGAATTTACTCTTTTTTTCATGAAAATGTATAATGAAGATTTATCATTCTATGGATGAGACATTTCCCCCCTGCCCTAATCGCAGTTATGAAATGTCAAAATGAACCAATCTTTCATTGCTATCTGTTGTGGAAGAGGATTATAACTATGAAAGTTTAAAATATAACAAACGAGAAACCAAGAAATTTTGTTGGGCAGGGCCCTCCAGTCATCTAAATCAGCCCTGTTGTTCAAAAAATAAACCAGAAGCCAAAAAGATGGCAGATCTTGTTCAAGGTTTAATGACTTTGGGAGCTTATGGGAGAGCTTACAGAGAGACCTCTGCTAGGAATGGAGTCCAGGCCTGCAGTTCTCCAAATACATTCACTCTTTTGGATGCTTTCCATTTTTATTCAGAAGATACATGAACAGGACATTTCCTGCATCCTGCAGCAAAGTTTCATTCATAGGATATCATCCCTGTATAGCAATTACCTGTTGCTGCAAAACCAACCACTGCATATTTGTTGGTATAAAACAGCAACAATCATTTATTCTTCTTATTACCGCTCATGATTCTAGGTACTCACTAGACTTAGCTATACCCTTCTCCACTGGGGGTTTCTGTCACAGTCAGATGGCAGCGTGGGCCAGAATCCTCTTGAAATCTTCCTCACTTTCATGTCTAGTGATGACTGCTGCTCTCTATTGGAACCTCAGCGATACATGTTATTTAGAACACCTGCATATGCTTCTCCATGTAGCTCTGACTTTTCAAATAGCCTAGTGTCTAGATTTCTAGAAGAGTCTAAGAGAAACAAGGAAAAATTGCATTGCCTTTTATGACCCACCGTCAGAAGTCCTTAGCATTCCTGTCACTGTAGTCAAAGTAAGGGGTGCTGGGGTTAAGGAGGACATATAACACAGAGCTTCTATGTTCTCCATGGAATCTGAGTGTGCCACCCTCCCTTCACATCAATGTAGTCACAAATCAGGAAACTCCACTGAGTTTCAGAGCAATAGTTAGTTACCCACATTTCAGTAAGGGGAGAGAACAGTCTCCATGTCTCCCTGGGGTGAGCATAAGAGGAATATGGAATGGGAGATAATATTAAAGTCATTTTGGAAAATACTATAGGTCACACTGTGTTATAATGGAGACTCTATCTGAATTTTGTCCCGTTTCAAACAGAGCTCAGAAAGCCTTAGAATTGACTATGATAAGAGTGTTTAATTATGCTAATGAGGCAACTCTTAATGGGATCCTACTTAGCTTCATAGGGGCTGATCACCAGAAAGACCAGCCATATGATTTGAAGGTTGGAACTTTGGACCAACCTGACCTCCTGGAGTGAGCGGGCATTGGAAATTGAGTTAAGTCATATAGCAATGCTTTAATCAATCATGCCCAAGTAATGAAACTCCAGTAAAAATTCTAAGCACTCAGCAAATTAGTTCTTCAGAGGGAAAAAAACAATATGAAATATCTGAAATTATTCCTATATGTATATCTTTTCCTATTTTTTAAAAAGAGTTATTTATGCATACAAGAACTGGGGTACTGGCCAGAGGTGTTGGGGGTGAGAGAATTCACCGGAGACAGAGCAGGGAACAAAACAGGCAGGCTGACTGAAATACACTGCTGAGGGGAGCAGCAGGCAAGTCAGGAGAGGTCTGCTGCGCCATGTGGGTAGTTCCCTGGTTGGGGATCAAACTCATACTGCAGCGGCTTTGGATAGCTTCATAGGTTACATCTTAACCCCTTATGCCACCAGGGAGGCCCTTTGCCTATTTTCTGTAAATAGATATCTCTGTCCTTATAGAGAAAGATTGCCTAGACAGATATCCTATAAGGAGTTAACTCATGTTATTATGGAATCTAAGAAGTCCAAATTCTGCAGTTAGCCAGTTGGAGACCCTGGAGCTAAAGTTTCAGTACAAGCCCTAATCCAACAGCAGGAGAAGATTAATGTCTTAGCTCAAAGACAGGCAGAGAGAAGGGATTCTTTCTTACTCAGGTTTTTATTCTATTCAGGCCTTCAGTGGATTGGCTGTAACTTACTGACATTTTGGAGGGCAACCTGCTTTACTCAGTCTATCAACTCAAATGTCAATCTCATCCAGAAACACTTCACGTGCACACACCCAGACATGCTTAACAAAATATTGGACACCCCACGGCACACTCAACTTGACACACAAAATTAACTATTGCTCTGAAGCTCAGTGGAGTTTCCTGATTGTGAATACATTGATGTGAAGGGAAGGTGGCACGTTCAGATTCTGCGAAGAAAGAACGAAGAAGTTCTGTGTTACCTGTCACTCTTATTCTCAGTCACCCCTTTGACTTTGCACCATTTGTCTCTCTGGTTGTTTCCTAGTGGTAGTGTTTATAATAATACTGTAATTGTAAGTGCTGCACTTTGAGTTCTGTGAATCATTCTAGCAAATTATTAAACCTGAGGGTTCATGGAATCCCTCAATTTGTAACTGGTTGTTCAGAATTAAAGATGTCCCGGAGATCCCATTTATTACTAGCATCTGAAGTGGGGGCATCAAGTGAAGAATTAGTCCTTAACCTGGGGGATTTGCATTAATTCTAAGTAGTGTCAGAAGTGAGTTGTGGGGCACTCAGTCGAAGTCACAGAATTGGCGTCAGTCACACCTTTCGACATTGGTTCTGCTACAGTTACCAAATTGCCTTTTATGTTCTAATTCTTATTTGTCTTAAAGGTGAATTTTAAATACGTATTAACAAGCGACTCCACATGCTGCAGATACAAAATGTTCAGGAAGCTCTCTATTTATATCTCCAAGTCTCTCTATTTTCCATTTTTCCCCAATTCCCTAGATACCCAGTGAATATTTGTAATTTCCACTCCAGAGGATTTCCTATTCTGTTTTAAGTTTTAAGGATCATGGAGGCTTGCTCAGCACTTTTTTCTGACAGGTTGGAGTGTTCTGCTCTAATGAAGATAAATTATAGCAACATCTGCAGGGCTCAGTCCTTAGACGCTTTCTCTTTTCTACCTGTATTCTGTTCTTTATTCATTTCATCCAACACCATGACTTTAAATACCATCTACATACTCCAAACTGGACATCTCTGAACCCCAGATCTTAAATTCAGTTGCCCGGGCAAGTCAACATTTCCACTTAGAGTTCTAGTATTCCTCTCACATTTAACATGTACAAAAATAAGCTCATTTTACTCCCCTAAATCCTGCACCTCCTACAGTCTTCCTAATCTCATGTGTCCAGCTACATTCTGTTTAATATAATATATATATAATTTTTTAAGATTTTTATTTTTATTTATACAAGGTCTCCTGTATAATTTTTATTATACAGGGTCTCCCCTGGTGGCGTAGCGGTTGAGTGCTGGGCTATGAAGCTGCTTGCAGCCTCTGCAGCGCTGGTTCCATCCCCAACCGCCGGTTAGGGTCCCACATGGTGCGCAGACCTCTCCTGCTGCACCCGCTGCTCCCCTCAGCAGTGTATTTTGTCAGTCTGCCTGTGCTGTTCCCCACTCTGGCTCTGGTGAATTCTCTCACCCTCCCACGCTTCTGACTATACCCAGTGCTTGTATAAAAAAATAAATAAATCATTAAAAAAAAAAGAACTGGGGTACAGTCCAGAGGCACAGAGGGGCCGGTGAGAGAATTCACCAGAGACAGAGCAGGGAGCAGAACAGGCAGAAACCAAAAGCACTGCTGAGGGGAGCAGTGGGCGAGACAGGAGAGGTCTGCTGTACCATGTGGGTATCTCCCTGGCTGGCCGGAAATCAAACCCACGTTGCAGAGGCTGGGGACAGCTTCACAGTGCAGCACTCATTCCACTGTGCCACAGGCGATGCTCAATATATATAATTCTTCACCCAATGGATCAAAAGATTGAGAGAGTTTTGACTGACACAGGAAAGAGACTTAACAAAATAATTTTTAAATATTTTCATTATATCTTATTTTTATAAGAATATTTGTGTTGTGATAAAATACATGTAACATTAAAGTTGCCATCTTAACTATCTTTAAGTGTATAGCTCTGTAGTGTTATAGATATTCATAGCTGTACAGAAGATCTGTAGAATTTTTTCATCTTGCAACAGTGAAATTCTGTACATACTAAATACTAATTACCTCTCCTCTACCAACCTCTTGGTAGTGACCTTTTTACTTCATGTTTCTATGACTTTGACTATATTATATACTTCATATGAGAGGAATCATACAATATTTCTCCTAAAAAGACTAAGAGAAATTTTAACTTCCCTTTACGCTTCTTTGACAGGCACAGTATTTAGAAAATAGTCTACCAAGGGGCCTCCCCTGGTGGCGCAGCGGTTGAGCGCTGGGTTGCGAGGCTGCCCTCAGCCTCTGCAGAGCCAGTTCGATACCTGGCCACTGACAAGGGTCCCACAAAAAAACCAAAAAAACAAAAGAAAATAGTCTACCTTGGAGGCTAAGTTTCCTGATGGGCAGTTCAAAACTAGATTGAGAAATAAGAGCTGATTATTAATTTCTTGATCTGATGTTCATGTGCATTCACTAGAGAAAATGATAAATATTATCATTATATAAATGAAGCAAGTAAAATTACCATATTTTATCAATTTTATATCTCTGAAATAAAGATATGTCTTATAACCAATGGAGTTTTTGCATTGTTGTCATAATTTAATTGGCAGCATTTTTTTCTTTTCTTTTGGCATTTTTTATTTGTGTATTTTACAGGCATTGGCATCCTAGTGCTATGAAGTAAAATAAATGATTAACACAATATCCCATACTTAGTTCATGGTAGAACTGAGACTGAAACTATGGTTTTCTTGGTTTTAATGTTTTAATGATTTGTTAATATTTTCACTAAGAAATAGAGTCCTCAAATTACTTTTATGCCATACCTTATGAATTTAAATGGACTATCATTCTCCTCTAGATGCTTCACATTTGATATCAGACATTCTTAAGACAAATTTCCTCCAGTTGGGTCCTCCACTAATGTTGACAGATACAGAAAATCACAATATATGTGTGTCTCTCCTACTGAATTGGACACTCATACACTAAAAAATAATTTATGAGACTTCCCTGGTGGCGCAAGGGGTTAAGCACAGCACTGTGAAGCTGTGTGCAGCCTCTGCAGCACAAGTTCGATCCCCAGCGGGCCAGGGAGCTACCCACATGGTGCAGCAGACCTCTCCTGTTTCACCCGCTGCTCCCCTCAGCAGTGTATTTCAGTCAGTCTGCTTGTTCTGCTCCCCACTTTCTCTAGTGAATCCTCTCACTGCCGCGCACCTCTGGCCTGTACTCCAGTTCTTGTATGCATAAATAAATAAATCTTTTTTAAAAATTAAAAATAGGGGCCTCCCCGGTGGCGCAGCAATTGAGCGCTGGGTTGTGAAGCCGTTGGCAACCTCTACAGCACCGGTTCGATCCCCGGCTGCTCCCCGGCCACTGGAGGAGGGTCCCACATGGCGCGCAGACCTCTCCTGCCGCCCGCTGCTCCCCTCAGCAGTGTACTTCGGTCCTTCTGCCTGCTCTGCTCCCCGCTCTGGCTCTGGTGAATTCTCTCACCCTCCCGCGCTTCTGACTGTACCCAGTGCTTGTATAAATAATAAATAAATAAATCTTTAAAAAAATTAAAAATAATTTATAGTTTATCTGAAATTCGAATTTACCTGGGCATCCTGTATTTAATCTGGCAATCCTTCCCAGAAAGAAAAGAGATCAATGGACTGGTTTTGTCTTTCCCCAAGATTCTCATCTAGGGTAACTGGGTAAGGTGGTGTGAGGCATTGCAGTTACCCAGGAATAGATATTAGATCTGGATATTGTCTCCCAGAATCTTGGGAGCTTCCCTGATTCATCTCCTAGACTCGTGTTGGAAGGGTACCAAATACTCATTTTGGCTTAAGGCGGAAAAGCCTAATGTTAATAAATATTGGGCTAAAGCCAAATATCACCAATTTGGAATGAATTTCTAAGGCAATTTGTTTTTTTAAAAAACTTATAGTCTAGATGGAATTAAATAACAAGATAAACACAGCTTTTGAAGGTTATTTTCTTTAATGTTATGAATGATAATAACTAATAATTCTGCCAAGACTATAAATATGGTTTATATATAATCTGTTATCCTACTTTTCATTTTATTTAAAATTGCACAGACATTTGTTGATTCAAAAAGATAATGTATTCTTCCTAAAGTTATTTGCAGAGGCCTCCTCAGATAATACTCCTATTAGTTGCTGATCTATTTCTTTATTAATGGTTTGGAACTTTTTAATCATTGATTTTATACACAAAATTAATAGCTGTCACAATCCTTAATTACAGTAGCATTTTTCTCTTACAATAATATATATTTCAACTGACTGATAGGATTGTGACATATAAAGCTTACAAAGAGATTGTCATTTTACCTAGGTGCTTACTTCCATTTAAAAATGGATGTTTAGGGCCTCCCTGGTGGCGCAAGCAGTTAAGCACCACACTATGAAGCAATCCGCAGCCTCTGCAGCATGAGTTCGATCCCCGGCTGGCCAGGGAGCAACCCACATGGAGCAGCAGACCTCTCCTGTTGCGCCCGCTACTCCCCTCAGCAGTATATTTCAGTCAGTCTCCCTTTTCTGTTTCCCACTCTGTCTCTGGTGAATCCTCGAACCCTCCACATGTCTGGCCTGTACCCCAGTTCTTGTATGTATAAATAAATCTTTAAATAAATAAATAAACAAATAAAAATGGATGTTTAGATGTCAACAGTTTAAACAAAGATCTGCTTATTTCATTTAAGTATTTTTATATATTTTATTAATATATATTTTTAATTCAAAGTGTAGTCCTAGACTAGCTGTATCACTTGGGAGATGCTGGTAAGACATGCAAGATATCAGGCCCACCCAAGGCCTAGGCATCAGAATCTGAGCGTCAGACTACTTTGTAACAAGCCTCCAGGTGATTCTATGCACATTGAAGTTAAAAAACCATGATCTTGCCAAAAAATCACTTGGCTGCCAATTAGTGAATGTAGGATCAAAGGTCATCACAGAACTAAGAAATCATCTGCCCATTAAGAATCTGCATCTTAACAATGTCTAGATGATTTGTGTCCATAATAAAATTTGAGACAAGCTATTCTAGAAGACATGAAATTTAATGTTTTGTTTCATCGTGACTATCTCTTACCACCTGAAGCTAATAAATGGTCCTATGCCTCAGAATCACAACAGGACCTGATTCAATACTTTGCAGTCGATGAAATATGGGGGTTATTTTCACCAATGGTGAGCAGATGTCAATCTCACTCCATTTTTCTATTCTGTTCATAGTGTTTCCTTTCAATCCTCAATTAGCCTAACTACCAAAAAACCCTCCTGTTTCCTAGCTAGTCCTTACCCCTGGTTTTAACTCCAAGATAGCTACTTGGTGAATTTCTTCATTGCTGTTTGTTCCCAAGGCCACCGGATTAATACCTTCACCTTTCTTTTAAATTCTAGTGATCTTTGTTTTAATCTTTGACAAAGGTTAAACGTCTTTTTATGAGTCAGGAAAATCAGGATTCTGCAGGATGAGGTCAGGGTGGAGAGAAATGGATGGATTGATTGATTGATTGTTTGATGAGATGTTGATAGCTCAGGCCTCTCCAAGATAAGCTGTTCATTTTCCCATTGTTATTGTCCTTTTCTTGGGAGAAAATTCAAAGGCTATACTGTACCAGAATAGTTACATAGCTGTAGCTCTCATAATTTATTTAACTTATTTCATGTGCTGAGTTTTATCATGTTTTTGAAATTTGCAAAATTCTATTTTGTCTGAATGAGCAGATACTAAGTGGAGGACACATTATAATGTCAAAATGGAACCTGCATGCTGGGAT